TAGGTAGGATCTGACAAGCAAGGTACGGCTACCACTTCCGGCAGAGAGCAACTCTTTCAAAAACGACTGTTCGTTAAAGCGGCCGAAATCATAAGCCCGAGAAGTCGCCCCGCTGCCACTCTGCTCTATCATACGACTGCTCTCCGATCTCGTATAGCTTTTGACATGTTTAAGGCCTTGTTCACCGGACATTGACAAGGCTCAGCCCGGTTGTGATCATTCGGGGCGACAATCTCGACAAACATCGTGTCCCTAGGGTCAGCTAGCAATCCTGCAGACGTGTCCTGACAAAATTCACGACTGTCACTGGGCTGTCACTTTGCAGAGCAATGGCTCTTCGAATGGGCAACGACGACGGACGACTGGCACACTGGAGATGGGAGGGTGTCAGGCAATGCGTTCTGTGACGTCTTCCATGCCTATGGAGTCTAGCACACCCTGATTGAGACCCGATAGGCGATGCGCCCAAAGGAAGATACCGTCCAAACCCCCACTCGCCACAGACTAGTAAGCTGCCTTCAGCCCTTGTCTGCCCTGTTCGAAGAGTAGAACCGGAGCATGGGTCAGCGGGACTACGTGTGAGACAATTGGCACGAATTCTGCTAACGATTACTATATGTGGCCACTCAGATACTTCCACAGGGAAATCCCTTCTACACATGGCTGCTCTGTGTCAGTTACTCGCGTCAGCTTCATTCCATGGTCCCACGCCGCCACCATCACACCGCGACCGAGTCCACCACGGCAAAATCCTGCGAACAACACACGCTTCATCCGGTGGTTGGACACGATGGCTATCTCGTTGACGGACAAAGATGGATGCAATAGGCACAAGGCTTCACGCTCTTAGAAGTCGAGGCGGAACGCAGCCGAACGAACTGACGAGGAACACTATTCGCCCTTGTCTGATCGCAATCCGTACATGCGGCCTGCAACATCTTCAGCAAAGTGCAATCACAAATTCGCCACGAGCGGCATTCCGAGCACGAACCGTGGATCTCGCGTGCCACGTCAACCGTCCTTGTCAATGCGCGTTCGCCGTTGTTGATCGCGGCAAAATGCATGCAGCGCATCATATGCAGGTCTTGCTAAGACCCAGTACCTGCTCTAGTCTTGCCAACTTCTTCCACAAACGCCCCTTCACAAATGGTTCTGTGAAAAAGTGAGGCTTCGTAATTTCCGAAGTCGTAACCCTGTTTGCCGATCCGATTACGCCCTAAGCCGGGACGGCCACCACGATGTACTCCTGCCGACTGCGCGGCGTTCGGTAACACCAGTCGACACGGCATGCGTGAATGACATGAGTGAATGAGATTTTTGGAAGCAAGGCGACCAATAGAAGTTGTGGTAGAAGCTCGTGCGATTCAAGTGCCGATCCTTTGAGTTGGCGAAGCGGCCCACTTCCTCCCTTGGACTTTGCTTATTGCGGAGCCGAAGTCGTGAGCCTCACGAATGTCTTGACAGTCGGCTGGAAGCCCTCCTCTGCTCCACCCCTCGAAGGATCTGGTTTTTGTTCTGTATTGTCCTCGAATCCAAGAAAGAGGACAAACATAGAAGGTCTGCTTCAACTTGGATGCTGACGAGGTCCAGCTGCATCTAGAATACTGAACGCCATGCGTCAACACTCGCCGATCTAGTCTTAAATCTTTACTACATTGTCTTCGTGTCCAGGAAAAGCTCAGACGAAAGAATACGTCCTATCAACGTTTGCCGCATACGGTCGCGCTCCAGCACTCAATCAATACGTTCCGATAACCCAAAGACTGGACTGTGCAATACTATCAGACTCTTCCTAGGTACACGTACCACGATACCGATATAACGCAGGTGTCTTCAGCATGACCTTCGAGGTCACAGCTGTAACGCCTGAACGCCCCCGAACCTAGCCAGACTGCTACGACGTACTCTCCGCAAGCCCGACAACCACGCGTTGTCTATCCTATCACCTCATACACGAAAAACCCTGAACAGGCCTGCGGACTACATCAAGACAAGAACCTGCAAAGTAGGTGACCTGACGTCAACGTAGGCTCCACGGTGTTCAGCTTTTTCCTAGATTGGCGCGGTGGTTCAAAATACTTTTGATCATCCACAGGTAACATAGAGCTGCCGGTACATCATGCAAATAGCTACAGCGCGTTACCAAAACCACAATGGTGATACGTATTGTTCCTGCCCAGTTGGGCTGTGATCGTTGGGAACTTTCTTCGTAATTACACATTAATGGATTGCTAGCTGAGCAAGCCCGGGGTATCATCGTACAAGAAGAACGCCAATAGATCCGATGCAATGCCTCCTCTACGATCGCGTCCCTCCCAACCCTGGTCCAAATGGAAACGAATCAAACGTACTTACCTTCTAACAGTAGCTCCCGTTGCGACTTCTTGGGCGTTGCTGAAAGAGGTAACTTCTGTCGCATATTCGTGCTCCGGTCGCTGAGCACAGATGTGCTTGACGAGCGCGAGTTCTTCGACCTGGAAGACTGCGGCGACACGAAGTGCTGATTCGCAGGTTCATCGCGGAACACAGGCGTGCGCCGACCGATCGTCTCTGGGCTATCGGTGTCGCGCGGATGAGCCTGCGTGATGGTCTCTGCTCTGTCATCGCGCAGGGCCTCCGCCTCAGTGACCAGTGTCCCACCAACTTCTTGATCCTGCTGACCGCGCGCGACTTCCGCCTCAATGGACAGAGCCCCGTCGCGTACAAATCCCCCATCAGCGCTCACCGTCCCACCTCTGACAACCTCCCCCTCAGCATCCAGCATCCCACCCGCAGCAACCCACTTCCTCAAATGATCCTCCCGCAACCTCTCCCCAAACCCCGTCCACCTCACCCCAACCCTCATCGGAATCCTGCCCGCCCTCTCCAACGCATCAAACCAATCTCTATGCTCCGTCCAAACCAACCTCCTACTGCATTTACTCGTAGTCGGCGATCTCCCAACATCAGCGACATGCTCAAACAGCATCTTCGCCGTCGGCGTGTCGATATCGAGGTTATCCAAAATACTAGCCTTGATATCGCGATCAAAGCACAGCCACTCTACCACATTATCCCCCGTGCGAAATCCGAGCGCCGAGCCACCGAGCTGGAAGACATCAACCAGGTAGCCGACTTCGAGACACCCCGGTGGGGTTTCATCGCCAGCCGGAACGGGTTTCTTGCAGAACGGGTCGTCGGATCGCAGCGCGCAGACGAAGCCGTGGGATGGGCGGTTGAGCAAGGAGCGTAGTTTGGTCACTGAGATGAAGGAGGCGCGGTAGTGGTAGATAGCTACATCATTTTTCGCGAAGCGGAAGTATTGCGCTTGTTTTAGCTTGTTGCCGTTGGGTCCGGGGATGGGTTTCGGGCCGTATGAGCGTGGTTTCTTGGGCGTTATGGGGCGGGGTTGCTTGACCGGCTTGGGTTTGGATGGTCGGGGGTGCTTGTTTGGAGTGCCTTTAGGTCGGGTCATGGCTTTTTCGTTTGTGATTTTGCGGCGGTCTTTGGGCGGGAAGGGAGGGCGAATAAGAGGGGAGGAAAGAGGGAATTGATTGCTGGAGGAGGTCACATGTTTTGGTCATGGAGTGTTGTAGCAATGGGGATAGTGTGCACGGGGATTTAGGCTACTGCCGCTAGAGAGGTGCTAGATTCAGGGTCTGGTTCACCGTGAAAGTGAAAAAAGAGAAGAGGGGCGTGGAGACTGGCTGAGAGGAGGAGAAGCTGGGCGGCCTTTCCAGAGCTAGCTCCCGCGTTCGCAGTAGAGCTAGAGCATGAGGTCTGAGAGTTGGTCTGGCTCTCCGTCACTGCTTATTTTTGGGTAATGCGAAGTGGACATGCTGATGTTATAGAACTTTCATCAGCTTTGGTAAGTCGTGGTTTGGTAAAAGCGGTGTGTATCGCGGCAGCTCATGGGTATGTCGCGCGTACGAAAGTGTCGCTGTAGCTTTTACACTACATCAAGATGTGGATCTCGTATAAATTGATAGATCAGGCTCGGATAGATTGATACAGGCGTCGGAAGTAAGGTATGAGACGTTCGTAGTAGTCGTCAAGCTCCTCCGTTGGTGTCAAGACATCGTATTCGCCAGATACAAGCTAGTGTATAACATTTCCAACTCTTGCCCATGGTCTTCCGCGCTTGCCAGATCTCGCAGATTTGAAAGGTTGAGAGCTACATCCTGGCAGTGGGCGACGCAGTTTCTTGGTTGAACTCGATGTAGGAGTCCGGCTAGAGTCGCAGGTTCTTGTTGCTAGTGAAAGCAGCGTTGCCGCGTTTGTAAGTACCTCTGTCATCCTCGGGGGCGTGTAGTAATGGCTCACAACCGATCTCCTGGTTTTCAGATGAAGAAACCGACTAAGTGATCAAAGCTTTGCCACTGGTTGTGAAGGTAGAGTGTGTCAGTGGAGGGAGCGGGCCATTGCACGTTCAGCGCGACAGAAGCGGATAAGTCGGGGAAAGACCGCCTCGTTATCTACACTTCAGCTCCCTCACTTTACCTCCAGTGAAGGAACTAGTAGGCGCTGCCGAGCACTGACCTATGCTCATTGAGTGCACCAAATCTGTACGGCTCTCACTTCTCAACCGTTGTTTCTTGTTTCCGCTATCCCATTGACTATTCCAAAACATGCGGATCTCGGGGCTCCTCGGGTTAGCAACCCTCATCGTTGCTGTCGCAGGCGAGGTTTGTCAAAGGTAGGTATCGTGCCTCTAGTCGAGTTGTTGTTCTGGTTACGTCCTTCTATCAAGTACCACATCTGTTTGATTACATGTCGCTGTAGTTGACTCAGACTCTAGTTGCCCAAATAACGACCTTCTCGCTGTCAATTTTACGATCCCGGGTGGACTTGATAAGATCCTTGTTGCCGGTGACCCCGACGACTCGGATTCACCATCAGACGTAACAGTGACTCCAGTGCCCGACGCGTATTACGAGCATTGCAAGCAAAAAGGATGCGCCCTGGAATGGTCGATGCAGCACTCCGATAGCGAGGCCGGCGCTCAATTTGCACCTCCCCGCATGACCGCACAATCTCCCTTTCAAACTCCTCAAGACCTCCGAGACTGGGGATGGCATGACGGTGTCAAGATATCGCAAGCTTACGATGACCTCAGCAGCATCTGGTGGGGAGCTGATGTGGCACTGAAGGGCCTTCAGCTTCCTTGGAAGACAGATGCACAAGAGGGTCCCAATCGTCTCACCATTGTAGTGCACCAAGACCCCACTGCAGATATCAGTGTTGATAAGCAAACTTACAAGGTCGACGGAAAAGAATACCGGGCTTCGGAGGCTGATTACACTATGACTATGAATCTGCAAGATGGTGTTATCATTGCCATAAGTCGCAAAGGCCCAGATACGGCAGGCAAGGAGCGAGAGCCGCCGCTGAAACCAGAAGACATGCCAAAACTCCACCAATTCTCCGATGTTGGCTGGATAAAATGGAAGGCCATGACAGAGGCGAATAATCTTCCTGTTAACAATCTTCGGTATTTCTTATCGCTTGGGATCGCGAACACACAGACGATATCAGTGTGCGAGAGGATTTTCAGGGATAATAACCAAGCAATGAAGAAGTGGCCTGGAGACGTTTTTCTAGCCGGCACATGGGACTTCCGTGCTATCTTGGGTAAGTTGCACCCATCTTAGAGGGGTTCAGGTATCTCGTAGCGTAATCGGGGTTGTGTCGTCTCCATTGCAGTAGAGCATAACCCCAAGGCTCACTTGAGACCACCGTCTTATCCTGGAGGACTATCTCGGCTAACTCATGGACAGGAACCCCGAACGTACAAGGCTTTGGGTACATGCTGGTTCAACACAAGGCAGATCTGGGCAACATGTTCATTAGTAAAATCCATGTTTTCCTGTGTGAAAACTACGAGATTTGCATTGTCGCATTTGTGTCCCAACCAGTGGCCACTCCAGTGCAAGATGCAATGGTCGGATCAATAGTCACCTCCGATCAGGTCGACAGACGCGACGAAGGAAGTAACGTCATGCGTTTACACAAGATCTTCGCGAAGCTGTGAGAGCTAGGGAGAGCGAGTCAGAATATATGGGAGGATTGAGGATAATTAGACCTTTGGCTGGTAGACAGACGCGATTACCGGTCTTAGATCTGGATAGTCTTGGCTGCTTTGAAGGAGTGTATGGAGCTGGAGGCCTCCGCGACCTCCTCAAACTGGGGATCATATCGCTGCCCGGCTAACCAAATAACATCGACGATTGTCACATTCAATTTCATCTCTTTTGCGGTGTCGGAGTGCTCGATCCAGTCAGGCAGCGCGATCAACGCCACGCCTTGTAGCAAAAGTAAATCTGCTCCGCCGGCCAATGATAGAAGTCGTGGGCGCGTCGAGTCGGAGCGGATCCGGCAGCCGCGACGCGCGCGTGTTGTTTTGAGGGGATCCGAATGCAGGGAAGGAACTTACATATACCACCATGCCCCATACTGCGTCGGTCCTGAACTTGCACCGCTCAACCGCAAACACTCGCCGCCGATCAAGTGTCATTGCAGAAGCCATGTCGTGCCATGACCACGCCAATACGTCAAGCGCGGGCTCGCGTCATATGACAGGCGTGCCCCGCGCTGTAGGATGAGAGCTCGCGCATGACAGCCCACGAAGGAGTATCTGCCGCCCGTTGGAGCAATCAATTCGCGCCTACACAATGCGCCTGTGGGGTATTAGCCGTTCCACCGAGCGACGTGCTTCTCGCTGGTCTGGGCCATGTTCAGCAGTCCAAGATTAAAGAGAGAGAATTCCTCGGCTTTCGTTACCCCGCTAGCAACTCCGTCGACTAGAGGCTGCCGCCCGTCCTATCAGCCGAGTATCTTCGCCGCATTGCGCAATCGGGACCGCGGCCGGTAGCGAAGAAACTCCCTCTGGACTCCCTTGGATTCGTCTTTCCGAGGTTATACCACACCACCCATTCGCCATGAGGCCTGCGACTACTGCGCCCGCCGCTTTCCGCGCTGCGACGTCCATCGCACGACTCCCCCACCGCCAGACGTGCTCCTTTGCGACGCGCTGCCTAGCTTCCCAGACTGCTGCGAGATCGGCCCAGTTTTCGAGCCCGCGACGAACATCCGCAAACAGCGCCCCAACACCAGCACCCAACCTATACACTCAGATTGGACAGTACAGGATGGCGTCCTCGCAGGGAATCAAGAAGATCCAGGTCAAGAACCCTGTGGTCGAGCTCGACGGCGATGAGATGACCAGGATCATCTGGCAGGTCATCAAGGACAAGTTCATCCACCCATACCTCGACATCGACCTCAAGTACTACGACCTGGGCCTGCCCTACCGTGATGAGACCAACGACCAGGTTACGCTCGATGCCGCCGAAGCTATCAAGAAATACTCTGTTGGCGTCAAGTGCGCGACCATCACCCCCGATGAGCAGCGCGTCGAGGAGTTCAAGCTCAAGAAGATGTGGCTGTCGCCAAACGGCACCATCCGCAACCACCTGTATGGCGCACACTGGAGCAAAGGAAGACACATGGCTGACAGCATACTACAGAGGAGGAACCGTTTTCCGCGCGCCCATCGTCATCCCCACCATTCCCCGACTCGTGCCTGGCTGGAAGCAGCCCATCATCATCGGCCGCCACGCTTTCGGCGACCAGTACCGTGCGAAGGACCGCGTTATCCCCGGCGAGGGCACACTCGAGATGGTCTTTACACCCAAGGGCGGCAAGCCTGAGGTCATCAAGGTCTACGACTTCCCAGCGGAAGGCGGCGTCGCGCAAACCCAGTACAATACCACCGAGTCCATCTCCGGCTTCGCACACGCTTCCTTCAAGATGGCGCTCGACAAGAAGCTGCCGCTGTACATGAGCACCAAGAACACCATTCTCAAGGCATACGACGGCAAATTCAAGGATGTCTTCCAGGCCATCTACGACAGCCAGTACAAGAAGGAGTTCGAGGCTGCCAAGATCTGGTACGAGCACCGCCTCATTGACGACATGGTCGCCCAAATGATCAAGAGCGAGGGTGGCTACATTATCGCCATGAAGAGTGCGTGTCCATCCTACCAATATTCTGACTTCACTGACATTCCTAGACTACGACGGAGACGTCCAATCCGACATCGTCGCCCAAGGCTTCGGCTCCCTCGGCCTCATGACCTCGACCCTCATCACCCCTGACGGCAAGACCTTCGAGGCCGAAGCCGCGCACGGTACCGTCACCCGCCATTTCCGCGAACACCAAAAGGGCAACGAGACCTCCACCAACCCCATCGCCTCCATCTACGCCTGGACACAAGGTCTGGCCAAGCGTGGTGAGCTGGACAACACACCTGAGCTCGTCGTTTTCGCCGAGCAGCTCGAGAAGGCTTGCGTGGACACTGTGGATATCGACAAGATCATGACTAAGGATCTGGCCCTTGCGTGTGGAAAGAAGGACCGGGCGTCTTGGGTCACCACCAATGAATATCTTGATGCCGTCGAGAGGAGATTAAAGTCGAGCTTGAAGGAGAAGCTATAGATGTACAGCAGTGTTGAATAGTCGCGTGGGATATTCCTTGCATCGGATCACTCGGTAACAGCGTGATTCCTAGACCTGACCATGTAGACGGAGTTCTGCTTACTCTTGGGCAGGAATCGATTGTTCACAAATTCAATTGCGCCTGTGCATATCTTCCTTTGCCAGTGAGGCGCGAGAGCGCGAGGCATCTTTTTTTGGCAGGGAGCTCGTGCCATGTCGTCTCCACATGTTCCCGGAGCACGTTGCTTTTGATGAGCTGGGTTTACGCTAATTTCCGATGGGACCCAAATCCTCAAAAAGAAACCAGTCTCTTGCATGTCTCACGGCAGTATGCATATGCGGGACGATCTGATGTTTGTTTGTTACACGGCTGATTGCAAAACATTTGTCGCGACTGTCTTGTTGAATTCCTAAGGCTTGCATACTTTGCATTCCGTTCAGCAGCTCTGTGTTGGGCCCTCTTGATCTTCTCGACAGTTGCTGGCCGTCTCATCCTAGACGGGATCACATGATGGAGGCGTTCACTGATGCTGCTCCCGGGACTAACCCGACTAAAGCCGCTAGGACCTACAGTGCGAGCCCGACCACCACGCCAGCCTCTGTACCAAATGACAGCGCAGGATCTACAGCCACCATTACCACAACGTTTTCGTCGCCTAAAAAGCACGGCAGTCCCTCGACTCCCGACTCTACTCCATTGCACCGACGCTTTCTGCGAGCAGTCTCGATGCCGCCTGCGACACCGTCGCGTCCGCCCATGGAGAGCCAGAAATCTTTCGAGAAGGCGCGCGACAGCCCAGTCGTAGTTCGCCATACTCCCAAGAGGACACAACCATCGCCAATGAAGCTCGAAGTTGGCCAGGGCGCGTTCTACTTCTCAATTGAACTGCCCCCCAACAAGATCACGCCAAAGAAGAGCGGAACGACAAGCAAGAGCCAGACGCCAAAGGGAGAAGACACGCCCACGAGGACGAGGACGCCTAGCCCGTTGAAGAAGGCGAGCCCAACCAAAGAGAATGCAGTGAGTACACCCACGCGCAGCCCGCTCAAGCGTGATGAGACGGCCAAGCAGAGCCCTGCGAGGCCATTGTTTGGTACGCCGACGCGGGCGAGGATGCACAAGCAAGATGCGGATCCACGAACTCCTGTTCGGACAACGCCCAGTCCGCGAAAGAATCACAGCACAGTGAAGCAGAGTCCTGCCAAGATAGCTACTGTCACCCCGAAGAGAAAGGGCTTGCTCAAGACACCTGGAAGTAATCGACCCGGAAGTCCCATCAAGCGCTCGATTGAACAAGACGACTCACCCGTAGATCCACTCAAGACATCTGCACGACTCGCGAGGGAACTCTTATCAGGGCCAGGGGAGACACTCCAAATGCCACCCGAACGTCTTGCGGACCTGAGAGACGAGCACGCTCCAGCAAACTTGGTCGCGACTGCCACCGACCCGACCCCGCATCATGAATCCACGAGGCAGGCGCCACCAGCGAACAAGTGCCCAGAAAACATCGGACACCTCATGGCAAGCCTTATCAGCAACACTACTAGCACGCGTGACTGGTCAACCGCCTACAACAACGACATGATCTCCCCGATACCGACGCCATTACGCAAGGCCTCTGAGAAGCTCAAGCTGGGAGAGTCGCCTTCTTTCCTGCGGATGTCCGCCAATGGTACGACCACGATGACCAATGCAGGCCCTGCTTCCGATGTCAGCAAGAGAGGGTCTTTGAATCTACAAGAACCTGCGTCAGTCGACCCGGGACAGGACAAGAGTAACCAGATTGAGTCGTCGGCTTCTGGATCAACCGAGGCAGCTCTTCCCTCTTCCATTACCACAGATCATACTGCGGATGTGTCAAGCGAACCGCGACCTGCTCTTCCGTTACGTGCAGCCAGTCTGGGGTCTTTCAACACCCTGAACGCGACTCGTGAGGTACCAGCCCCACCACATCGCCCGCTTCTATTCCCAAAGCGAGGGTCGGAGACCCTTCAGAAAGAGCCGTCGCAGCAAGAACACCAAGTCAGGTGGCAAGATATGGAGACTGCTTCTTTAAAGCCCCTGCCTGCAAGCCATCAGAGGCGGGTGGGGACTGATCCAAGCGTACTTTTGAAGATGCAAAAGGATATGGCCAATCTGGAAGCGACGATGCGCCGCTCGGCAGGCGTTGTCGACCCAGCGTTTTGCGGCCCGCTCAATCTGAACGAGCTCCCTGCAATGTCGAACGACTACTTCGTTAGAGGCCAGCAAGATATCAGAAGCCCAGGTGTTGTTGGTACACCAAAAACCCTCAGTAGAGCCAACTCCGACAACCCATCGATTGCGACCGTACAAGCGAATGGAGTAAGAGGTACTAGCAACTCACTAGCATCGTTGAAGGTCTCCGGCACTCCAGGTATACCACGATTGAAATCTAGTGCTCCTACCTCAGCACAAGCAACGAGAGACCGTCTTCTTGCAGCTAAGAAGGAGAACACTCAGCGTACGGGTACGACTAAGACTGCGGTTCCCGAAAGATCCCGCCCTCGATCAAAGACCACAGTATCAGCAACAAGCAAGTCGGGTGCGGTCACTATCACACCTCGCAAGACCCCAGCGACTCCGGCCAAACCCGTGGCACCTCCAAGCACAACAACACTCAGCTCTCCACACAGCCGCATACCATCAGTGAACGCCGCCAAGCCCAGGATGCGAACACAGTCTGTTCCTCAAGCTGGATCGAAGCCGCTTGCCAGTGCCTCAGGCCATAGTAAAGCTGTCGCAGCATTGAAAGAGCGTTTACCGAACGTACCAACTGCTCCGGTCAACACTAGACCTGTTCCGATCCGCAAGCCTGTGGTCCCCTCCACTACAGTCACTCAAGTCCCTTCGGCGGGTCCGCGACCGTATGAACAAGAGTTCGCTAGCGCGGGAGATATTGCTGATCGACTCGCTGGTTGGCACGACGAGGATCGGAAGAAAGCGCAGATCAATCGTCCTACGGTCACAGCCAAGAACACACCAGCGAAGATACAGGCAGGAGGCCAGGTGAACGAGTCCACTACACCAGACGGCTCACCTGCGAAGATCCTCACACCCGCCAAGGTACCCGCATCAACTAGAACTCCAAAAGCCCTCCCTCCTGCCAAAGACGTCAAGCCACGACCACTATCCAACAAGCCAAGTGCCCCATCAACGCCCAGATCTAAGCCTAGCGCGCCGGCTCCCAATACGCCAGCCCCAAAGACTCCAGGTCCAGCGCTTCGCAACGCCGCTGCCGTCAACAACAACCTCCGCCAACCCATAACCGCGGCCAAGACCCCAGTGAACCGCCGCATACCCGTCCTCGACCGCAACGCGACGCGCACACCGAGCAAAGCCATCGTGAGTAGTCTGGATCAAGCGATCGATAGGAAGATTGCAGAGGACGCGAGACGTGGGATGGAGTTTACGCCTGGTGGGAATCGGCTGAGGGATTTGCTGGATGCCAAGTCGATGAATGGGGGTGTTGTGCAGGTTTTGGAGGAGGAGGAGGTGGTGTAAGGATCTGTAGGGTCGCTGCAAGGGCGATGAGGACGGCCGGCGGGGGTTAGATGTGCTATTTCGGTACTCTGTCTTTCTTTTGTCGAAGTTCTGGTGTTGTGTGTGGCGTTTATATTGGAAGGTCTGGGATAGGATTTGAGGGATAGGTGGTGTCACAAGGAAAATCATGTGGATGGGTAGACAGTTGATGTATGACAAGTATAGAGAGTCTACATCGACCACGCCTGTCTATCTTCTACTTCCCACTACCCTCCCTATAACTCTCCCCAAACACATCGCCTACATCATTAGACTCACCCATCTCTTCATCGCTATCTTCATCACCGCCGTCATCTCCAGAGTCTGAGTCTTCGCTCCGTCCCACCGTGTGACTAGACGTCTCACTCTCTTCGTCCTCATCCCTGTCGCTCTCGATGTCCTCCATGCTCTCATCTGAATCTTCTTCACCCTCACTAACTTCCTTCCCATCATCGTCGTCGGCTGCAAGCGTAGAACCCGACGCATCCGACCGACCCAAGGTACGACTAGACGCATCACTTCCTTCCCCATCTCCACCATCTCCACTATCCTCGACATCCTCACTCATTGCGCCTTCCGCCAAACTATCCCAGCTACGATTACGCCCAGAGGCTGTTGCGACCTCTTCTTCTGATGTCCCATGTCGCTCCTCGACTATTCCTTCACTCTGAGCGTTTCGTCGCTTGGTAGCATGCGTTGCGCCGATGCGGAATGGATCGTCTTGGGTAGACATGTCTGCGGCGGGGGTGTAAGTGTGGTATTGGTGCAGGGTACCGTTGGAGCGGAAGCTGGTGGCGATGAGAGGACCGAAGGGGTTGGCGGGGGTGGTGTGGCTTTGTTTCTGTGTTGGGGTGTCGGGCATGACGGGTGGTTTTGCAGTGATAGTGGTGTTGGAATGTGTAGGGCAGGCGGTTACTTGTTGACCAGACCAGAAGAACTAGAGGATCTTATGTATGCGAGAAGTACTCCAATGAGAGACAGAGTCTTGGAGTTGGTTCTCAAAAGTAGAACAGGAGCGTTCGAGGGTCTCATATCAAGGTTTCGCTTGATGCAGACTTGACTTGAAGAAAAAACAGGTTTCAGTTCTGAATATTAGACATTTGGGGCAGGGCTACCATCTGTTGCACCTCACCCGATGGCGGCATAACTCCCCAAAGTCCAAGCGCCATCAAAAGGGTGGTAATGGAATTCTAGATCGTGTACAGATACCTCGGGTTATCCTCACCCATCTCAGCAATCTCTTCTTCAGTCTTGCCCTCAATCCTCCAGTCCTCCTTACCAGACAGCTTCCTGTTGTTCTTCATGCGGAAGTAGAAGTGCAGCGCAATGTAAATCGCAATACCGAGCGCGAGCAAACCGATGGTAGCACCGTAGCCAGGAATGTATGTTGGCGCGGTGTCGGCGGCGTACAAGAAAGGTGCCGCAACACCTGAGCAGTTACCGATGGTGATCTGCATACCGCTCGCAAAGGCTCGTTTTCCGTATCGGGGGTTGTTGACAGCGATCCAGGAGAAGGCGATGCCGGTGGCGACCCAAAGGCCAAGTGCAACGATGAAGCAGCCAGCGAAGCTGAGACCAAGCCCCTATGTGTATGTCAGTACTAGTCGTTGAGATCGTGGGAACGTTGAAGGTATACCTTGTTTGCGATGAGGAAGATGTACCCAATCATACTGACGGCAAGTCCGCCGATGCAGTAAAGACCTCTGTTCTGTGTCTTGTCGCTGAAGTATGCGCTGATGACGTAGGTAAGGAAGCCGCAGACGTAGACGGGGATCGTCAACGCCTGAACTACTTGACGGCTCCATCCACCTCCGAGGCCGTTGATGATGGTAGGTAGGAAGACGGAGAAACTGTAGAGCATGCCCAGCCCAACGAATTGCGCAATGGCGTAGGCGTAGACCTTCCAGTCTTTGACTCCCTTCATGACATCCTCGCGCGCGAGTTCTTGCCCAGATGTTGTTTGGCCGACTTCCTTCATTCGGAGCAGAACAAGGTTCCGGCGGTCTTCCTCGGTCAAAAAGCTGGCCGTCTCGGGGCTGTTGGGTAGGACAAAAGGTACGGCGATGGCGGTGATCACAGTCGGAATACCGTTGATCAAGATGATCCAACGCCATCCGTTCCAGCCGGCTACACCGTCGAGCTCACCGATTGCGTATGCTACGACACCCTGTACTTGTTAGAGCCTTTCTTTTGTCTCGTGGAAACGATACTTACACCCAGTCCACCTGCTAGTGCAGATGTACCATAGAAGCACGCTTGTCTCAAGCTAACGTTGCGCCGGTTGTAGAACATGCTCAGGTAAAGAATAACGCCTGGGAACAAGCCCGCTTCGAACGTGCCCAGCAGGAGACGGCAGACGATGAGTCCGGCGAAGTTGTTGACAAAGCAGGAAAACGTGGCCACCATGCCCCACATGAACATCAGACCTCCGAGATATCGAGCGGGCTTCATTCGCTTCAAGATCAGGTTGGACTAGGAGTTGAATTAGCATGTAAGGCTAGTCTCTGGTGGACACCAAGCGTACTGGAGTTTCGAATATCTGATAGACGGTTAGTGGAAGTCATCAACATTGGGTGAAAGCAATACTTACGACATAAGTGACGAACAAGATAGATACGGCAATTTGGAACTGATTGCTATCGGGGTCCATGCCAAGATCTTCCTCCATCTTGTAGAGACGAGCATTGCCGATATTGACTATGCGAAATCGTCAGTCTAATTCTTCAAACGAGCATATCGTACGCACCTCGATCCATGAAGTTCATCAGGTAGATCCAGCATATCATGGGCACGATCCGGATGTCCAGCTTCCTTAGCAGCTTTGCTTCAGTGACAGGATCAATGTCAATCATCGAGGCGGATTGTTCGACATCTTCGAGTTTGAGAGGTGGGTTTGGCGATGTGTCCGAACCTTTCTCGTCCCTGTACTCCGGTTCCGTGAGCACGGGCCCGTCTTTGTTTGCGTTCATGCTGTCAACGAACGAAAACAAAATTCTGTGAGTGCGATCTCAAGTTCGAGCGTGTTTCCAGTGGGCAGGTAAGTTGCTGTGATCGCCGTTAAAGAACCAAAAAAGTATTGGAACCAGTCTGACCCTTATAACCCGAACACCTGGGGAAGGGTGCCCCGGCCCCATGGGGAAGCGAGATATGCCATGCGCTTGGTCTACGGAGACGCGCCGTTGGCATCGATCAGGCAGAAAGACCGAAGCGAGTTTGTTAATCTCGTCGTCGAAGTGCCGGTAGCCGTTCTTCCGCCCTGGCGTGCTTGGAGGCTCTGGATAAGGGCGCAGTGGGCGCCTCCAAGCTTCTGAAGCTGGGGTAGTAGGTGGTTAACCAAGACCTTCACTTCCTTGGAATCTTAACCTCTTTTGGCAAGGCTGGACGCGGATCGCGTCAACGGGACCAGATTCTCGGTACGGAGGAACGGGTATCTTCTGTTGTGCAGCCTATCATCTTGCGTAACGCAAGGGTATTCGCAATCCCGTGTGCCAGATGCTCGTAATACCTATGCTCAACAGCTTTCCCATGTAACGCGCACAGACTCAAATGCCTGTCCGGACCTACAGCTTCTGCACAACTTTGAACAGCCGAACGATAAAACAATTTGCGGTTGAACAGGACAACAATATGCACAGAGCCCATAAGTAGTATGCACTACCGTGAATCGAGTGAATTGGCCTTGATCACTGTCATGTTTGGTGTGTGCATGCTGCGATCCGCAGTAACCCTCCTCTTGATGCTCTGAGAAATGCCACAGATGCCACGTCTGATTTGACCGGAGGACGCACTGAATCTAGTGAGGAGTACTTAGTCCGAGAGATTGCATACAGATACTACCTTCCTTTGCTCCGTGAGTGTTGTTGTCATGCTCGATACCAAGTCGCCAAGTCCTTAGCCTGCGCTGCCGCGCTTGGCAGTTGTGTCCTATGCAAGGACGTCGAGCTTCTCCACACATTTAAAGTCGCTACTGTATGAGGTGAGGGAGAACAATAATAGCTAATTCTCGGGGAATGAAAGCGTATGATAGACCGTTACGTTTGGGAATGCTTAGAGAGAACGTCGCAATGTGAGGCTCTTCGACAACTTGTCCTTTCTCTTGCCCAGCCGGATAGATCGGTATGAGATGCATCGCGGCTGCGTGTCTACAAATTGATTCGAGCGGGAAGGCTGAAACATTGCAGCAGTGCTGCGCCTCGGGCGGAATGATAGCTGCTTGTGCGGCGGGCTTCTGCATTCAAGAGGAAGTACGCCTGTTGTGCAGGGCGGGCAAAGGGATGTGATAGACGGCCAAGCACCGAGCCGCTGCCCAGCATGAAGAGGATCAGTAGAGATATGGCGCCGCTGACGATGATGATGAGAGATGATGGAGGGACGAAGGCGGAGGGTACTGCCCAGGTGGTGGATGATGGGACGAGGCAGGGGCAGCGCGTCTTGGAAGGCGCGTCGCTTAGTCATCATGCCCTAAAACTCACGGCGCGAAGGCACACAACGCCTTGGACATGCAGTGCTAAGCTCACAAGACTTACATATGAGATCCCAAGGCACCATTCGACCGATATAGCCCCACGTGGTTATCCCTGCTCGCCATGTGCCCGTTGCAAGAAACCCGTTTGAAAGACCTGCGGCGAAGTATTGGCGCGGAAGAGGGGAAAGTTCATGAGCTACTCTCTAATGCTGCTAGAGAGCTACTGGTGCCTTGATGAGTTCCTCTATTACTCGGACACTCGGACAGATCTCTTCTTCGGTTTCCAGTTTCGGCACGTGGAAGAACACAACGCCTCTTCTGCCGGTCCGTTGCTGCATCTCGAGTAGACTGATGTAGTAATTGAAACCACACACATACGAGCCCACGTCATCGCTGAGCCTCACCTTGACAGCTTGTCTTGATTTCTCCTTTCCTTTCGTCTTCGGAACGCCGATGGAGGAACGGACATCCCTCCATATCTCAGCTGCTGCATCGATATTGATCGTCGTCGCCAGAG